TGCCCTTCAGCAGAAAATTCCACCTGCCTACACTGCAAAGACGAACACAAAACTATGGATCCTTCTTGTGCAGTAATGCTATGGGAGAAAGAAGTGAATAAAATCAAAGCCTACAATTGTATTGCATTTGAGAGGCTAGGAAACTAGTTAGGGAGGCACAACGCCCAATTCCCAAACCCAATAACATCACGCCAACGAAAGAAAATTTTCCACCTCTTGCGCAACCCATGCAAGAGAAAGTTATGAAAATGAAAACCTTCGGTGGTTAAGAAAGGCCACCTCCAAAAGACAATGCATGGAACAAAGATGAGAAGGAAACGAAAGCACATTATAAAACACAACCCACTGCTAAAAACTCACCGAAAATCACAAAAGACATAAATAATAAGGAAAACACATCACCAAAAAAAACACTAAAAAACGTAAACACTAAAATAATGAAGACGACAACCGTCAACAAAGCGAATATCACTTTACACAACCCCAATTCGACTACTACAATACCTCAGAAGATAACTAGAACCAACACATCATCCAGCCTCAAGCAGTATGGATCTAGCAAAAGAAAATAGAATCCAGAAGAACCACATCAGAGCTTTGCTGTGGAACTGCAGGAGCCTATCCAGCAAGCACAGCGAAATAATCCATCTATCTAACTCTTACGACTTAATAATTTGTACAGAAACCTGGTTCAAACCCAACAAAAGTTTTGAAATACCAAATTTCAACATAATCAGATGCAACAGAATATATGCAAACGGAGGAGGAGTAGCTGTTCTCCTTCGCAAACACATTCAGTACGACACCGTGGAGTACTTAAAACTAAATGACTCCCTATCGGGTGTCATAATTCTCAAGCTTCTAAGCCTCAACATACCACTGACTGTAGCTGCATGTTACAGACGTTCTGGGCACTCCCTCAAAATCTCTACATGGGAAAAATTCTTCGAAGATCTCCAGAATGAGGATAACTGCATTCTACTGGGAGATTTCAACGCACACCACCAAGACTGGAACTGCGATACAGTAGATACAGCAGGAAACAACTTCCACAAAGCAATAGACAACAAAAACCTGATCATACATAATGCAGACACTAAATCTAGAGCAGTCTCACCAGACAACATAGCCAGCAATATCGACCTGATCATCTCATCAATAGACATCTGCCATTTAATCACCACAAATCAACTAAATGACCCGCTAGGCTCGGATCACTATCCAATAGAACTCGTCATCCAAATCCAGAAACAAAATATAACAAGAAAAACAAACAGGATTGCAATAAAGGTAGATTGGAAAAAATACTTCGCTATATTCGACCAAAACTGGAACTACTTCATATCACGCGATTTTGCAAACAAAACCCTCAATACACGCTACGAGGAGTTTGTAGCAAAAATCGTAGAAGCCACAAAAACAAGCACTACCAGATACCGAGGCAACAAGAAGCTCACTCCCACGAACCCAGTTCCTTGGTGGGACCAGGAATGTAGCAGAACCATCAGGCTTCGCAAAGCCTCGCTCCTCAAATGGAAGGCCATGCACAACCTTGTGGACTGGGTAGCCTACAAAAAACAATCAGTCATCACAAAAAAAATCGTAAGGAAAAAGAAAAAAGACTCCTTTCGCATATTCGCCAGTGGGCTAAATGCTCAAACCAATGCCAGCTACGTCTGGAAAAACGTTCAGATATTTAAAGCGAAATGGACAAACACGAAGCCGCCTTTATATCACTCACAAAACCAAACTGAAGCACTAAACACTGCCATCAACAAACTATCACCGCCCTGGGTATCAGACAGACCAACAGACATCCAAAAAAGCACGAACAGCGACAATAGTTTCCTGGAAAATACATTCAATCTCCTAGAATTTAATTACGCAATAGGATCAAGCAACACAAAATCTGCTCCAGGCCCCGACGAAATCGAGAATAACATGCTCAAATTCATGTCTGTAAGAAACCGTCTTATCCTTCTGGACATCTTCAATGAATATTATACAAACCAATGGACAACAGCACAAATATTCTTTGCACTAAAGCCTGATAAAAAGAGCTATCGGCCCATAGCACTCACGTCGTGCCTGTGGAAACTTTATGAACGCCTCATCAACAACCGCCTACAATGGTGGTGCGAACACCAAGGAATCCTTGACCCTTCTCAAGCCGGATTCCGCAAAGGCATATCTTGCCAGGATAACCTAGGAACTCTAATATTAAACGCCAAACTAGGACTCCACAAGAACAAGTGCTCTATCGCAGGCTTCCTACATGCTAATAGTGCATTCGATAACGTTCAACCCAGAATCCTGATTTTTCTACTACGTGACATGAATATCCCACCAAGAGTGCTAGCATTCATTCAAAAATGGTCTCATACCAGGACTGTGGAAATAATAGGTCTCCCGTCAGGGATTGACACACACAACATACGGACTATTCATAAAGGAGTCCCCCAAGGAGGAGTACTAAGTCCATTTCTGTACAACCTCTACACAAAAAATATTTTACAAGGCCTACCGAGGGACATCCGCATTGCGCAATATGCAAATGATATCGCCCTAATGGCAACAGACAACGAATTGGCAGAAACTAAAGAAACAATAGAATCAAGCATAAATATCATAAAAAGAAACCTTCAAACACTGGGTTTAAGTCTCTCCCCCACAAAAACGCAGTACCTTATCTTCAATAACCCAACAATCATACCAGGCACAGTCAAATTCCAAATAGAGAACACACATACTACGAACAGCAACAGTGTCAAATTCCTGGGCCTCACAATAGACCACCTCCTGCGATTTGATCTACATACCAAACAAATCACTGTTCACTGCCCAAAAACTAAATAAAATTATACGATTTCTGAGAGGAACATGATCAGGCTGCGAACCTCAAACCCTACTAATTCTCTACAAAGCACTCATCAGATCCAGAATTGAATATGGAGGCTGGTGGTATTTACCTATAGGAAGCTAAAAACTTCGAAATGAACTGGAAAAAACCCAACGATCAGCAGTAAGGCTGGCAATGGGATATAGATCATCCACCCCTAACAACGTGATTCTGGCAGAAGTCAAAATTCCATGTATCATTAAAAGAATCAAATTTCTAGGATCAAAGTACACAGTAACCACATACAGCAACCCAAAAAACCCGATAGCTGCTATCATAGCCAATTTCACCCGAGAATTGCATCCTACCTATCTTTTAAATCGTTTCACGCTACGAAACTGCCACGCCGTCCAAGTATGTTGGGAAGAGATCCAGCCACTTTTCAACACCATCCAGATCAATGGAACTCCACCATATCAGAATTAGCTATACAACTATCTACAGAAGAAATCAACACGACAATAGGAGCCACACTTCAAAATTCGCCAGTAGCGAACGAAGAATTTAAAACCACCATAGAAGAACTCTACCCGAACCACACATTAATATTCATAGATGGATCAAAAATGAACGAATCAAACTCTGTAGGAGCGCCTGTGTCTGCCTTTCTCACCAGTACACAAAAAAACTTAGCCTCAATAAACATGCATCAATATTTACAGCTGAATGTGCACCTCTCAACATGGCCACAAACCTAACTGCATCCCACACAAATTATAAATATCTGATCTGTTCCGACTCGCTTAGTGCACTCCAAGCTCTCAATGGGAAAATATTCAATCAGCACACTAATGTGAGTATGCTTGGGAGAACGAATGGCTAGTTCGTATTGTATAAGATTGTAAAATAATATATTATAAAAATTAAACAACAACTATCTCAGATCAGGCAAACTAGCAACCCTAACAAACAAATTCCTTTTGCGTGGATACCATCTCACCATGGCATAGAGGGAAATGAACTTGCAGACCAAGCATCAAAGGAAGCCTCTACAGTCTACCTAAACCCAAACAACCGCATTCCCTGCTCGGATCTATTTTACCATCTTGAATCAACAATGTGGACCAACTCTGAAAGAAGTTGGATCCATGAATCAGGGAATAAGGGCACAGTTTACTTCAGATTATATTATAAATCAACGAGAAAACCATGGTTCCATAATCGAAACTTTCCCAGGAGTGCAACGACTTGAATCTCCAGATACAGAAGCAACCACTACAATCTGGTTGCCTCCCTCTCGAGGGTGGTCATTACACAAAATAGCAACTGCAGCTGCGGACACGCCTTACAAGACCTGAACCACATCTTATGGGATTGCGGCGCCCTCTTCAATCAACACAGGAGGAAGATGATAAAAGACCTAGAACAGCTGGGATGGTTTCCATCTTATGAAATTGAACAATTCCTGCAAGGGTCCTCAATTTAAGCCCTCAGGGCTATCCCAAGATTCATTGCAGATAAACTGCAAATATAGCCTCCACTATCTTTCCGTCCCTCAAACACTTTCCGAACTATAACAACATCAAAATATACGTATTATAGTAATCCAAACAATGCTTTAAACACACCTCTAATACACACGTATATAAACTACATTACATATTCTGTATAATCAAGTAAATATAAGTAGTCTTAAGTTTGTGGCGACGAGGAGCTGGCGCCGCATCGTCGCCCTTATGTTTAGGTTTTCTAAGTGGTATGTCTGGACAGATAGATCGAGGTGCATGCCGAGCGACTGCGATGAGTGACTGTTTAGGTTATAAGTTCGAGTGTCGTAAGAATGTTTCTTCGGTTGGTTCGAATGTTACTAAGGGTGAATGCATTTGTTGCGTGAATGCAAGTGAGAAAGATTTTCGTGGGTATGCTTGGGAGAACGAATGGCTAGTTCGTAAGATTTAGTTCTGTACAGGATGTCGGCAAGGACAGACCGCGAGATACGCGTCTGCCGAAATAAAGATCAAATTGTTTTATTACCCGACTCGCAATTAATCACCACCTTACCCACAAGTTCATATAGTTATCACTAGTAGTAAGTTCATATATTGTATAAGATTGTACATCATTTGACCAGGGCATATGGACCTGAATTGGTTAAAAGCCTTTAATAAATAAACAGAAGCACTGAAGCCTGAGATTTCTTGCCAGAGGTTTGTTTTTGTTGTGTAGCTCGACATAGTGGCTGTTTCTGTCTCACTATAAATAAGCAATATATTAATGTAATTGGCATGTCCAGCGGGCACTTTTAACTTATAAATAAAAATATTTAAAATAAAGTTAAGTAAATAAATTTGTTATGAAAGTTCATAACAGTAACCGTTTCTATATAAATAGAAAAATACATCAGCTATTACTTACCTTTTTCTATCTTAATAGTCGGTCTCTCCACTATTATTGAAGGGCCAGGTTGAGCGTCTGGTGTTTCCACCTTTTCATTGGTTATGTCTATATCCAAATATTCTTCGGAGTAGTCCTTCAATGGAAAAAGTAATATTTTGGTACCTTGGATATAGTTTTCAATTTTTAAACATATTTACGTACAAATCGTATTGGCGTTTCATCTATATTGCAATCACTCTTTATCTGTGTTGCATGGATTATGTTTAGAACACGTTTCTCCTCCACTGATAAACTTTCTGTATCTAACGGACCACCACCTGTGGCATTTAAATTTCTGTTAATGGAAGACTGCTTTGCTTTGGCTTTTCCTTGGAAATCTTGCCACGTCTATTTTACAAAGGACAAAAAATATGTTAATGCAGCTTTTGCAAAATTGAATATAAAACACTTATAAACACTATGTAAACACTTACACGTTTCCATTGTTTCCAATCTATCTTCGCCCCTGGCGAAGCGTTTAAAATATTGGTTATTTCTTGCCACAGACGCTGCCCATTCTTACATGTATAGTCGGCCGAAAAGTTCGACCTCGTTAGGTTTGGGTTTGATTCTACAAATTCAATAAGAATTTGTTTTTGTCCGCGGGATATGTTCCCCGTTCGTTTAGTTGGTTTACCCTCATCGCACATTTTCGTTTCGCACAATTCTTTCCACGATATTTTCGCAAACGATTCTCGGATAATACTGCCAAGTTTCTAAATTTGGGAAAACCCATGGTCACTCGGAAGTACCGTCGCATCCCGTGGCCCCAATAAAACATTACAACTTGAGTGTAATAAACAGGCGGCTAAGGCCTCTTGCACAGCGTTCTCGTTTACGGAAAATTACACGTTACATGACGTGACATTGACAGGACGCCATATATATTTCCGTTGGTATTTTCTAAAGTTGAACAATCATTGGTTCGTCTCCAACGTGTAAATCTGGCAATACTGTAATTTCATACGTATACGAATCAGTGATTCGTATAGTGCTTCAGAATACCGTTTTCGTATGTGAACGATTCGTACACGAAACACGCCATACGAAAGTGTTCGTATACGACTAAATTCACACGAAACTCGAGAATAGATCCCAGAACAGAAAATTAGTTCGGCGTATTCATCGCTAGATGGCGATACCAATTTCCCGTGGGAAATTTGAATTTCTTTTCATTTTTTAATTAAAGTTCATCAGAAGCATTTGTAGGTACTATTGAGTAGTTTAGTATTTGAGTAGTTGTTTCGTCACTTACTTTTTATATAAGAGTGAAAACCACATAAAAATCCGTCAAGTGGTTCTGGAGATTATTCTGAACAATAGAGAGATTGGTTTGAACAAACAGACAGATGCTTACAGAGACTTTATTTTATACTCTGTAGAAATATTACCTGCTGTTACTATCTCAGATATTATTATTCATACTAATTATACATAAATCGTAAATTGTATGATTTCCATCGAATATGTATACAAGAATTTAAAAAAGTAAGAAATCATATACATAGATTCATTATCTACATATGATTTAAATAACATATCAAAGGGATGATTTGATTAAATTTAATCTAAATACGTATTCATATTTATGTATATCATTTAATGAAATCTAAAAATGACTTAAATTTGTATGAATAACCTTTTACGAAAATTTTCATGAGTTTTGCAGAGGGTCCAAATCTAAGAGTTGAAATTATTAATTCGATTGCTTGTAAAGATTATTTTTAAAAAACTCAAGCTGGTAGAAGTAATGAAAGGATCAATGTACACCAGAGAGGACGAACGGAAATGTTAGTCGGATAAGTCAACTCGATTAAGCGTAAAATTGTTTATTTCTCATCCTAAAGCTTCACACAGCTTTTGTATTTAATGACACCGTTAGAAATGATTCCATCGATGAATACCAGATAGGGTGAAAAAGCGACTGCTACGTAATGAACAAATGAATAACAGAATTTCACTTGAGAGACCATTAACAATTGTATCCTTTAACATAGATATATTTACATATATATATTTTATCCTCTTGCATTATTCCATTTAATATACAGTATATATATATTTCTTTTATATGTATATATATATCATTATCACACCTATAGTTGATTTGTTCCGCGAGGAATGATATGTATGTGACATGCCCCTAAAAGGAGCACGAGGCAACGTTGCGTTCGGCTCGTTTTTTAATTATATATCTATATATATATATATAATATAACAGTTCATTCAAAACCAGCCTTCTAAAAAGTTACAGGAAACGCTGTCTTTCATGTAGAGTGCGTTAATAATCGTGCGTATACTTAGGTCTGTCGCGTTCCTCAGCGTGGAACGATCACTGTAAAAAAAATAATTTGCTAAAATTAAATAACCCGTTGCTATGCGTCTTGTTTGCCATTTCTCTTGCTATAACGGCTTTCCGTACACCTAAAGGAAATTGAGAATCGACCGTTTTACGCTGTCGCTAATCCACGTGCAATTACAGTTGATACGAAGAAAGAATCGTCCCAGATACCTCAAGCGTCGTATTAAGCTGCGTACAAGCCAAAGAGATACGAACTAAAGGCACGTGTGATCTTACATGTGCCAACGTTCACCAAGATTCGAGAGCATGTGCCTTCGGTCGAGTCTTTGATCTGTGTCCCCATGTCCTATACACTTTATGATTTTTCGTTTCTTTTAAATATAGAAAAATGTATGAATCGTCCCTTGATGGTTTTGGAAGCGTTTTATAACTTCGTCTCTTATATATTTACAGAAAAATTGATAAAGCGTTAATTTGTAAATTGCTTGTAAAGTGTAAATTGCTATCTTACAAAGTTTTACTCCAGATTGTCTCACAGCTATCTCATTCAAGAATTGAAATGCCAGACGTTATACTTCCATTTTGCATCCACGAATTAATGGTTAAACGAATATTGTTTGTTCAAGTTTCGGCATAACTTGCGATTCGCTCGACTCCATCACTAGCCATTACCCAACGGAATTGGCAAGAAGTTTCTCTTATCGGAATGAGCACTAAAAGGTCTTCCAAGTCGATTCTTTCCACGGCTCGACTATTTAGTCGACTATACAATACTTCTATGATGTCTCTTTTAAGGGGGAACGTCATCTTTGTGACTTCGAAAAATCGGTGTTTCTTTTCTGCATTTTCTTAAAATATTACATTCTAAGAATACGGTATTCTTTAAATTTGATGCTTTAAGAATACAATATCTGAAAAATGAAACATCTTAAGAATATAGTAGTTTTAAATCTTAACATCTAAACAATAGAGTATTTTAGGATTTAACATATTAAGAATTTTATCTTAATTTATTGAGACGAAATTCGAAAAAAAATTAATGAAGATATAAAGCTTTCTGCCTTGAACTTTAAAGGTTTTTAGTTTCCAACAATTCTAATGTTGTCCATTCTATCTATTAGAGTCAGAGATCGTACTTCAGAAACGCTCATATTTTCCATAAAGAATAACATTTTCTCCTGAAAATTGGTAAAAATATTGTTCAAAGTATGTACTTTTAAAGTACGTATGAGGTATTTGTATTAGTCACTCTGCATCGTAAGAAAAAATTCTCAAATGTTAACGTTTCTTCGGCTGCAATGGCGACGTTCCCCCTCAATTGAAGGCAGACTGCAGTACTTTCATAAACCTCGTTCGTATCTTGTAATCGTCGATAAACTATCTTGACAGATTAAAGTGAGCTAGTTAGAATCTGTACAAACATTATCATAATCGGAAGTCGTGACGACGAACAAGCTAAACGAGAATAAAACGTATTTTGCGAGATTTGAAAACGATCGATGACCCAGTTACGCTTCGAAACAGAAACAAATTAGGTTCACGAGCTGTAACATTTTCGAGCTGTAACCTAAATTCGCTATATGGTCGCCAGAGATGGGCGAAATTTTATTCGAATAATTGCTGGCGAATAAAAACAGCGTATTAATTCGCAACGTTAATCCTATCGAATCGTTCGGGATAAGCTTTTATTTATTCAACGTGAAATATAATTTCTGTTTATAATTTTTATCGAACGAATAACTGGTCGAAGGTTGCTCAACTTTTATTCGTTATTTAATATTTTTATTCGGATGAGAATTTCGTCCATCTCTGATTCTCGCGACATGGCATGTTCGTTTCGTATATAATTAATTCAAACGTGTTTGTAAACTCTTAAAAAGTTCCTAAGATACTTTCATACTGATCGATGAATCAGTTTCAACGCATACATCGAACGTGCGCATTATAAAATTCTTCGTATCTCAACAATATCGAGCATTCATGGCACGCCTTTCGTCAAGCATTTATATTGCACGTCTTTCGTCTTGACACTCGCCTACATTATATTCGTAAAATATTGTTACGAAGACAATCGGTGCGCAAGGATTAATATATAGAGTCAAACTCGGTTAGAACGATCATAACCAGATGATCGACAAAGATTGTTCGATAAAACGAATACACGCTAAATATTTATAAACAAGCTTGTATACAGATCAAAGGATGATCGTTTTGCAATTTTAAATAAACTATTATTTAATCATATTTATCTTCACCCTTTTTAGTATATCCACCCTTTTAATTATTTACTTAAAATCTTTTCTGTTTTCATTCATAGTATCCTGCTCGAAAGGAGTAATTTCATCTTCTATATATTAATTTTAGTGAATTTTGTTTATATGTCCATTTAATAAATTCAACTGAAGATGACCCCTTACGTATTATTACATTTTTTATTAGTGATGAATTAAATCAACCTCCAATTTTTTTCGTTTAATAAATTGATATAAGAACAAATAAAAAAAATATACGTATATTAGAGAAGAAAAATAATATATTTACATACCTATGTGTATTATTTACATTAACACGACTATATGAAATGCGAATTATACGAACTACAATAAACTTGTAGTTACACGATCACAGTATAGTTTTTAATTACAGACAAATAACTTGCGCTTTAATACATTCAATAAAGGAAATAAATAGAGAAAAGAAGGAATAGTATACCTACATATCTACGTATTATTTGTATTAATATGATTGCGACAACTACAATGCACTCGTAGTTGTACAGTCAAAGTATAGCTTTTAAGTACAGACAACTTGCGTTCGATATTAAGTGTACGGTTTTAAAATTATCGATAAATAAATTGTATTTAACATTATCATACTGTGATTAAAAACTATACAAATTAACAACATGGCTTGAATTACCATTTTTAATAATAAATCTTAAAATTAATGTTTATTTCAACGGTTTCACTTTGGCATTTCTCAAATTTCCCAGAATTCGTACGATATATCCGTGTGCTGTACGCTCGTTATAAAGATGAATAATTGCATGGGAACACGTGTAAATAATAATCATTGTGGCTTTTTGTTCGTTACAATCATGATTTCGCTATATATCTGTGCTCGTTACAACCAAGTTCGACTAACGCGTGTATAATATTTATTCTCGAAAAATTATACATAGATTTTCAATATTTCCTCAGTTCCTCAATATGCGATTCTTTAAAATAATTCTCGCTTTGCTTTCGGAACGACTATTACCGTACAGTAGTGCCCATTTGCTTGAAAAAAAAAATCGTAATCGTTATATGTCACGAACGGAGACTCAGGCGATTTGTTCCGAAGACTCATCGAACTCGAATGGGCGACTCGAGTTGAAGATAATTGAATAGTGGTCAGAGTGATTGCATTTCAAGTATCCGTAACACGGATTTATTCAAAGATTTCATGAACAAAGGTTCAGGCGAGAATTTATTTATTCCCGAAACTCATCGTACTTAAACTGACCACTCGAGTCGAAGATACCTAAATAGTGGATACCTTCGTTTCAAGTATACCTAACGGAAATTTATTCAAATAGCGAAGCAGTACTGTATTCCCACAGCATACGTCTCGCTTTTATTACTTTCGTAACGCCCAAGTCATCTTTTGAAATGGCGAACAGTACAGTTCAAATGGTCTTTCATCGTAAGGCTGTCAAACGAATGGCAATTAGCGAAAGGAACAGCATCTATTACCGCACAATACTTGCCTACGAAGTAATCGATAAATAGTACTATAAATATTAGCTATTAACAAAAAAGAAACGATTCTATTATGGAAAGGAAGTTTCGTTCTTGAGACACAACTTCAATGCCCGATTCTCTTTGTTAACCCTCTACTGCACGAACTTTATTTTATCCATCGATAAAGTAATTATTTTTTAATTGCTTACGTGTCAATGAATTAATTAATACTCAACCTGAATAACAAGTGACTGAGCCTACGAGCTACTGGATCATTCCATAAGAAAATGTCATGCAAAATTTCGCAAAGTTAACTCGCAAGGAAAGATTGAAAACTAAAAAGTTTATGTATAATTAAAAATAAGACATTCCCTAAGATAAATATTTAATTTATTATTATTATGAATTTTCAAAGAAATTTTCACCATATCGCAGGATTTCAAAAACCATAGAATTTTGAATTCAGTTTATACGATACTTTAATATTAATAACAATAATATTCTTGGTTTCATAACTGAAACAAAAAATAGCTACGTTGTTAACATCATTCGGAGTACAACTCCAGAAAAATTCAATTTTTTAAAATTGTCTAATGAACAATCTTCCTTTGTCACATAACTTTAGCGAGATTTTGTTAGATTCCCAATCGAGTATGTTATACAGTAGAGGGTTAAATTTCTCTCGACTTCAACAAGTTACTCTTTTTTGTCGCTTTTAACAATAACGTTTCGCGTTCTTTTTTTTTTGGATTTTTGTTGAGTAACTATAACCGGAGATTTGGTTTCACGGCATTTCCTTCGATGATGGCTACGTCGATGATGCATCTTTAAACCTGCGGCCTCATCTGAAAGAGGAGGTCGACGATGTTCTCATCGGCTAACGTCGAGGTGTCCCCGACGTTCTTGTCTCCTGCCGCGATTTTTCTGAGTATACGTCTCATAATCTTCCCTGATCGTGTCTTTGGCAAACCGGGCGCGTGTTGGATGATGTCTGGTTGAGCGAAAGCGCCAATCTTATCGCGCACTGTTAACAAATATACACTCGAATTAAGCCGTTGGTCATCAATAAAATCAATTGAAAAATTGAAAATAAAAATTGCGGAGTTCGTTTATCAAATATCGACTTATACTGCATGATGTACAGTTAGTCTCATGAATAATCGTATCATCTACGTACATTAAAGATATTTGTCTAAATTAAATGATAGGTTTGATGTTTCCAAATTAATGGTTTATTATAAATATATATATATATATGTTCGTGAAGTTTATGTATTTATAAATTTTCCTCTCTATGGCAAGGTGGGACTTTGAACAAGTTATAATTCAACTAAAATAACCATAAAAAGTATAAAAAGACCATCTTTAGTCATGATAAAACTAATACAGTGTTATAATATATAAAATAAGATACAGGGTGTCCCAGAATTAGTGGAAGAACCGGAAATGGGGGGTAGCTGAGACGATTCTGAACCACAATTTCCTTTACAAAAATATCGGATGGTGCTTTGCTTTTGAATTATTAACGAAAACCAATCACACACCAATCAATCACAGCGTCGGAGTAGCCGCGAGAGGCTAGCTCGAGTCGAGACGTTTTTCGTTAATAATTTGAAAACGAAGCACCATCCGACATTTTTGTAAAGGAAATTGTTGTTGAGAAACGTCTCAGCTACCCTCCACTTCCGGTTCTTACACTAATTATCATAAATAATACTATTATATACATAATATAATGAATATTATAAAACAATATACAAATTTTGCATCTGTTGAATATAATTTGTAATTTGCAAAAGAGTCGCAAGAGTGGTAAAAATTGCATGAAATATGTAGTTTAATTGAAATTGCTGAAATTAATAATTTTTGATGACATCAATTAAATTCTTTCATGAGAAGAGACGAGATATGTCGCCCTACCTTTCTTTTTAAGCTCATCTTGAAGCTTCTTATCAAACACCGAACCATCGTTGGGCGTTATGAAACAATAGAGACATTGTCCTTTCACAGGGTGCGGTTTACTGACTACAGCGGCCTCGGCCACCGAGGTATGTTCCGTCAATACGCTTTCTACTTCTGCAGTGGACATTAGGTGACCAGAAACGTTTAACATATCGTCAATGCGACCTGTTATCCACAGATAACCGTCAGCGTCACGCCTAGCTCCTGAAATCAAATAAAACGTACTTCGAATCATGATTTCAATCTTTGTTAATTTAAAATAAATACTGTCTTCGATGTACAAGGTTTTCCAGAACCGGCATTAAGATTTTATATTTTCAGTGAAATTAGACACGGTTGCTATTAAAGGTGAAAGAGGACTATGTTGAGAGATGAATTTTCATATTAAAAAATAGAGACAGTTATTAATTTAAGATCATACATACAAGTATAGAATAATATTTTGTTTTATCGTAATAATAAATCAACTATGATCAATTGCATTTTACAGAAAGTTTGTTAAAAAATGTGTAATTTATATATCATTAATAATAAAGTTCTCAATCTTTCTATTAATCAACTGTATTAAGTAGAAAGTAGAAAGGTTGACGTTTTAATATTTTCTCAAAACTATTTCCTAAAATTTGACTAAAATTGAGAAATTTACAGACAAATATAGTAAATACAGATGATGAACATGCAACAAATATGCAGGCAATATAATGTTATATTATGATCAACAGATAATTATTTTTTTTTAATCTAGACAAAGCCTTAAAAAGTGTTATTGAAATGAATTCTCAGAATGTGCACCAACTCGCGCCTGAAAATTTAAAAAAGTACACGTCCATATGTCGAGCTTCAATTATTCTTCATTGGAGATGGCTACAACCATGGCTTGATATACAGAAACCTTAACAAATTTCTCGTAAAAATAAAACTCCTAACCATGCATCCTGATCAACAACGCTAAATTTTTAACAACACTTTCCGCCATCAGAATTCAGTACCCAGACAATCTTCCACCCATCATCCCTTAAAATTCAAAAAACACATTACACAGAAAAGTAACAAGATGCCAATTCAAAAGATTAAAGCCCGTCAAATTTTCGACTCCAGAGGGGATCCGACCTTGGAAGTGGACATAATTACTGACGTTGGATTATTAAGATCATCGGTGCCAACTGTGTTATGGCCCAGCCCTAACCAAGCACAGGAGTTGAGGGATGGAAACGAAGCCATGTACCATGGACGTTCCGTCTTTAGAGCTGTCGACGTCATCAATAACATAATTGCACCGCAACTTTTGAAATCCAGGCTGGAAGCCTGCCAGCAAATGGAAATAGACAGCTTATTGAACAGACTGGATGGCACGGAGAATAAATCAAAGTTAGGTGCGAACGCTATCTTTGCTGTTTCCGTTGCCTGCTGCAAGGCTGGTGCGGCGAAGAAAGGACTTCCAGTTTACAGGTATTTTCTTCATTTATTAGGTCAAATAAACCCGAATTTATTTTCTATTTTCTTTCTAATATCACTGCCCTACAATTAATTGAAATGTAACGTGTTTAAGTATAAACAAAGTTTCAGACATGTTAATTCAATGTACTCAATATATAAACAAAACAATAATGTACATATTTAGGAATATGTTAATAGAAGGCTCGTAGACATAAAGAATGAAAATGAAAACCTTTCAGTCCTAAAACCTAGCATTAATTTATTTTAAATGCTTTCAACTTTACCGTAATGCAAAATTATAATGGGAAACAAATAAAAGAAAATATTCTACGAATAATTTTCTATTTTGTATATTTCCTGTCATTTGTAATATATCGTTGTCTAAGAGAGCCTAAGTCACGTTGCTGCAAGATTAAGAATTGAAATACTAAATAAATACCATTATTGCAATACCAAACAAATTATGTCTACTTCATCCATCGATACCTTGAACAAAAAATGACAGTAATTCTATCGAAAAATGTGATAGATCTAACAAGTAAAATGACTGATAGAAGAACAGAATCGTCTAAAAAATGATTGATAGCAATGTTTCGTAAGCTATGCAAGCAGCTGTTAACGATATCCTGACTTTTTCAGGTACATCGCAGAGTTAGCTGAGAACGGAGAACTGTATATACCCGTTCCAAGTTTCAATATGATCAGTGGAGGCAGACATGCTAGCAACACGATACCTTGCCAAGAATTCATGATCTTACCTATAGGTACCACTTTTCTTGCGACTGTTCATTCTCGATTCTCTGTATCTTTCTTTCTGTAATTGTATCAGGCGCTGAAAGCTTCGCCGACGCTCTGAAAATGGGCACAGAGGTGTACAGAGTGCTGGAGAGAAAAATTGCCACCACTGCGGAAATAAATCTGCCACTCTCTGTTAGTGACGAAGGCGCTTTCACACCTGAATTAGAAGAAGACCGAGAGGCGTTGATGCTGTTAGATGAGTCAATTAAGGAAGCAGGATACGAAGGAAAAATTGTGATAGCCCTGGACATGGCGGCCAGCGCCTTTTATAAAGAAGGTTAACAGATGTTTATGGAGCCTGAACCATTACAGACTCATTTATATGGCGGTTCCTAATTATTGAACCACGCAGTAGATTAAAAGAAGTATTATTCAGAAGATTCTTCATTTTTCGAGCTATCGACACGATTTATAAAGAGAAAAGAACCGATACAGCTTTTAAAATTCCAATTAATTTACTTTTTTTGGTAGTTCATCGTTAATTATGCCTGATGCATTTTTATGATTTGTGTTCGATGTTGAGACAGATATGTGACAAACAAACATTTTTTTCAATTTAAAGTAGTTTCTGGAATCAAAATAATAAGAGCTGAAAATCTCAATTCATGTTGATGTGATAAAAAAAATTACATCCAAACAGACAAGGGTTTCTCTACTGTTGCAAGATATTGGTGGTCTAGAAAGTTCGTGGCGATTTAAAAAAAAAACTCAGAGGCACATTTAAATTTTGATACATATTTATTGAATTACGTAGGTACCATTTTGTTCACAATACAATTCTCTAATAGGAATTCAAAGTATTTTCATGTATAACTCTTGTCTGTTTGATTTCAAAACTGTACACCTACGAAACACTTTAAAATTACTGTAATTTTATTTAATTTCATTTTGTGCCACTAGCTTAAAAAAATCAAGAAACATTAGTATCCGATCGAAGCTGCATGACTAATAAAATTGAAATTCTAATTTCCTTTTCCTACGACACCAGGAGGATACGACTTGGCGTTCAAGACAGAAGACTCCGACCCTGACGAGTACATGGAGGCTGAAACACTCCGAGACCAGTACTTGGAGTACATAACAGAATTTCCTTCCATCGTGTCGATCGAAGATCCATTCGATCAGGAGGATTGGGACGGTTGGCTCACCCTGGCGGACCAAGAGATCCAAGTCGTCGCCGACGATCTAACTGCGATGAACATCGACAGGATCGAGGAAGCGATAGAGAGGCAAATGGCCACCACGATTGTTTTAAGAACGTCGCAAATTGGAACCGTGACGGAAGCGATTAATTGCGCGAAACTAGCGAGAATAAGCGATTGGGGATACATCGTGTCCGCGTGTCAGGGAGAAACGGAGGATAATTTCGTGGCCGACCTGGCAGTGGGATTGTCAGCTGGTCAATTCAAAGCTGGAGCACCTTGCAGAACCGACAGAACCGCCAAGTATAATCAGATATTAAGAATCGAAGAAGAACTAGGCAAGGACGCGAAATACGCTGGCCTTAATTATAGAAATCCTTTGGCTAAGTAACTTTCGAGGTCTTCGAGGATTTACCGAGAAATAGCCACTAATCACGAGATCGGCAAAATAATCAACGGTAAGGTTTTAAATTTGAATCGACTGCATATGCACAATTGAATAGTTCTATATATAAAAAATGTTTGTTTTGATATGATTACTAATGCATGTCCTAACTTGCAAATGGGCAAAAATGAAGATGAGTTGTTTTCTGCAAGTTTTCAATTCTTTAAGGAATCTTTTACTGCCATTTCATTATCCTAGTAATCATGGATTCATTTAATAATTTTGACCAATTTAAGGGAAAGTCTCCTGATTATAGTAGAGGTACATATTGTTTAAATTATTTATTATTTATTACATTGTACTTCTGTATCACTCTTACTTTGTATAACATATTAAAATATGTTTGAAATAAACATTGTACTGTTTTCAGAGATTATAAAAGAGACAAAAATCAAATTTTCTGTCAAAATATTTCTTTTTGACTATTTTTTTGTGCTATAATTTACCAATATCTTTCGTAATTTAAAAATTACATAAGCATGAATAAAGTGAATGCCTTTAATATAAAGGGTAGTTTTTTCCTCAAAGTGGAAAAGATCAGTGAACATTTGTGCGATGTTTTCTTGTATAAAATAATAACGATTAAAAATATTCTTTAACCAGGCGAATTTTGCATGGATGTTTGCTCATTAAACATAAACAAACTGTCGAGTGTGTAAAATAACCAAACTGCGAAATAGGAATAATTAACTCACCGTCACCCGTACAATAGAATCCGTGGAATCTATCAAAATACGTATTCTGAAACCGTTGATGATTTCCAAACAGCGACCTCATCATTCCTGGCCATGGTTGACGGAAAACTAGGAATCCCTCTCCTTCCCCTTCGATCAATCGACCGTCTTCATCCAACAGTTCTGGTAAAACACCGAAGAATGGAAACGTCTGATAGAAGAGTAAATAACAGATCGATTAGGCTCACGATACCCCGTTCTCATAAAGTAATAAATTTCAGGTAATCAAAAATGTTCGTGCCATTTTGTAACATTAAAAATATAACACTTGAAGAAATTTACACGTTTTATTAATTAAACTACGCACTTTTGCAGTTTGCGATTAATCGAACGGTTTACTCATTGAATATAACAGGATATTTACTTATAAACCCTTTGACTGAATTAAATCCTCTCAAAACTCTCGTACTAATAAATTCTTATCAAATTATATACTACACGATGTTTAGTACATTATATAATACAAACAATGCGATACAAAATAGAAAATCCAAAAAATCTATCAATGAGTAACATACTTGTAAAATTTCATGAATTCAATGTTATACTAGAAAATTATATTCCATAAGTGTTAAACTATGTGCTGAGTTATTTTCATTTTCTTTTTAACCTTACAATTACTTTCTCACGTGTTCACTGAATTGTAATATATAACAGGTGTTCCTTATCAAAAAACCGTACGAACTTTTTTATTGATGCCGTTATAAAAAGAATCGCTTACTGCAGAGCCAGGTTTCATAGGTGTAGCGCCAGGAAGAGGCGTAATAACGTGGCCTCCGGTTTCCGTTTGCCAGAATGTATCCGCTATGCTGCATTCTGCGCGTCCGACGACATTGTAAAACCAAAGCCAAGCTTCGGGGTTAATCGGCTCACCTACAGAACCTAACACCTGGACACATACATTTCAATTAAAATAAAAAAAAAAAAAAAAAAAAAAAAAAACTCCAGCTCAAACTAGTTTAAACTTCCTGTTTAGTGATTATTATTTTTTCTCTTTTAATGCACATTATAATATTATTTTATATTATTTTTATATTATATATTATATCTATATCTATATTATATTATTATATTATTTTATATCAGTTTTATCAAAAATATATACCGAGGTTGCAAACAAATTTTCTTAAATAAAATGAGTTTATTAGTAATCACTACGATTGTTTTAGCACTTTATTGAAAAATTACAATAGACACGATTACGAGTAGTTTATTAATGTAAAAAACTGAGTTGAATCGATTATTTCAGAAGAGACACACGTGACATTAAATGGAACATGTAAACAGTTTTCAAGAACATTTTTCTGAGACACCTGATTCATGAAAAAAATTTATTAAGTAAACTGTATAATATAGAAACCTTTAACTGAAAACACAGATTTCTTACAGATTTTTCGAACCAGGATCGATAGAGAAAAATTACATATTTTATCAGATATGTCATTTCTAAAATCATTCATTAATTAATTAATGAAAATATGCAGTTGACATTGTAATAACAATAAACTTTACGTGAAATTGATATGATAGGGTTAATAAGGAGTTAATAATAACTTTCAAGTTTCATTCAAGAATCACCAGTTTACATTAACGTTCCCATTCATAATTTTGTTATATTTTTTCTCAATTTGAACGTACCTTTAGAGTGGACAGATTGTGTTTCTTCACCAGATCGTCTCCGAATTTCATGAGCGATCTGAGAGCGGTCGGCGCCGTGTAAAATTGCGAAACTTTGTACTTGTCGATGACTGACCAGTATCGGTCGTTGTCCGGATGAAACGGTGTACCCTCAAACTATAAATAAAAATGAATACAACTCAAATAATATTGCACAGTGTGCTTTATTATTTCTATCTTGTGTTCTATTGCAATTTTTAAAGGTGTTTGCTCCCTATCACGTAAAAAAATAATAATAAGATCAGACCAGACCTCTTTAAAGAGTAGAAGACCAGGTTATTGATCTACTAGAGGCTCTCAGTGTTTTCAGGGAAAATTCTTTCTTGTGTGATAAATATTTTTTATAAAAACAAAACCTATCAAACAGATTCTATTAAGTTCAAAAAGGACCTCTTCAGAGATAGAATACTAGGTTAGTGACCTACTAGAAGTTCTCAGTGTTTCAAGGAAAAACTCTCTCTTGTGAGATAAATAATATTTTTGATGAAAACAAAGTTTATCTAATAGATGCTATCAAGTTCAGAGACGGCCTTTTTAAAGAATAGAAGCTTAGGTTATCGATTTATTAGAGGCTCCCAGTGTTTCAAGGAAAAACTTTTTCTTGTGAGATAAATAATATTTTTGATGAAAACAAAGTTTATCTTTATCGACCTATTAGAGGCTCCCAGAGTATTAAGAAAAATAATACTTTTGATAAAAACGAGGTTTATCTAATAAATCTAATCTTCAATTATTTGGTAATTTGTAGATTAAATGGTTGGATCATAATTAAGCTGGACCGAGTGGAAACCTTCGAGTATTCAAATGATTAATAACGTCACCTTTGAGACAAGATATGTTAGATAACCCTTACTGACGAGTACTATGATGAAAAACAGTAAATCTGTTATTCTTATCGTAACTAAAATGAAAAATACTTCAAGTAATTCTTCTATTTAATTTTGTTACATTTGTAAGTGTAACATGTAGGATAAAATAATTTGGTCGGTCGATTCTTTGATAGATCTCGGGTTAAAGTCATAAGAGATGAAAGTTCTAAAATGAACTCACGATTACAGAAGTGGCTCCATTTGCTAGGGGCCCATACACAACGTAAGTGTGGCCAGTAATCCAACCAATATCAGCTGTACACCAATACACGTCGCCAGGATGATAATCGAAGACATACTTGAACGTCGTGGCTGCATAAATTAAGTATCCAGCTGTTGTGTGGAGAACGCCTTTAGGTTTACCCGTGGAGCCGCTATTCACAAAAAAGAAACATGTATTAATTAAAAAAGATATCACAAAAAATGTTTCATGGAAGAAATTTCGGAAGAACTGCTGTTCAAGACAGTGGTTTTTAAATTTATAGATGTTGAATTTTAAATAATATTAGTCATAACATTGTTTTTAAGAACAATAAAGTTTCTTTTACGTTTCTACTCTACTAAATGTTTCTTAACGATTCGATTAAGAAGGTATGAAAACGAAGAGATTAATTTCTTAATTAGGAGATTATTTATATAAATTAAAACTGTCTTTAAAAACAACAAAATTTCTTCTATGTTTCTGGGTACTAAATGCTCTTTACAATTCAATAAAAAAATAAACAAATAAAAGGCTATTAGAGAACTAAATTATTAGATAGATAAATTTCTTCATTTTAGTTCTTCTTCATTACTTCTTCATTTCTTCATTATGACTAAGAAGTAATTGTTTCTTCCTGCCTTTTTTTAATATCGACGATCAATCTTTTAATATAAACAGATGTTCAAGCAATCACACTTTGCTACGTTACACATTTTCTTTCACTACCCTTTTGGATTCTATAACGTTCCCCTCCATTACTGAGAAAAATAGGAGCTTAGAGACTTATTTTTATTAAAATTTTTACCTCGTGTATAGAATGAAAAGAGGATCTTCCGCACCCATCCAAACGGGATAACATCTGTTTTCGGCCTCTTCCATTTCATCGTGCCACCAACAATCCCGATCGTCGTCCCACGGGATATTAGGAATTCCTACGCCGTTTCCGTCGCTCGTCCCGTTTACTCCATTTGTCTTTCCTTCATAAAATTTAGAATGTTATTTATCGATTTTTCTTCTTTATTCTTGAAAATTGTAGAATATTTTCTTATGTGAATGTGTACACGGTTTATGTATACTTTTATTTAAAACGAGGTAAAGTGAAATGTAGGCAATAGAGGGTTTACAAACCCGATTGGTGAACGGAAAATGTGTATATCGATTCATCGCTGATAGAGAGAAAGGTTATAGTATCCCAATCATACCATTTACCCGCTATCGATTGCAGTGGTTTACTTTGTAGAGTATTGATTTTCTAGTAACTATTCTCTAAATTTATTGTACAGTGCGGACCATTTAACTGAGAAGACTTAAATATCTCCATGCCTTATAGATCCATGGAAAAACTGTTTAGGTAAATGTTAGATTGTTTAAAAGGGCGAACACAGTGGTAAGAGTTTGATTTCTATTTGATATAATATACAGTGTTAATAGTACTAGTTAATATAATTTGTGAAATTAACAAAAAAATGCGAAAAGTGGGTAAAACTATAGAAGCAATAAATATTTGTACGATTCTTATGACGAACCATTTACAGTAGAGTTTATAATGTAAACACATTAGTTTATTGCTCCGTACGAATTAGAAAACATCAAATTTCCAGGAAAGTACTTTTAAAAATGGCTCTAATAGAGGAATTGAAGAAGATCCCACTTCGAATAACTAATAATTTAGTTAATTTAAAGTTTAGAAGAGTTGCAATAATTATAAAATCAAAAGGAAATCCCACGAAGTATTAATTATTTATAAATTAATGTAAATTTCTTTTTTTTTTAATCAAGTTTTAAACATTAAACAGTTGTGCGAATACTTATTTCTTCAATATTTCTATCGATTAATTGGTTTTTTCTTGTTAATTTCGCAACTTACATAAATAGCTATTTTTTGTTTACTCTATGTATTCTAGAGATTTCCTAGAATATGTAGAATGTCATTGTTTATAAAAAATAAATTAATAAATTACAATTTTACACAGTTTTTTTTTGGAAATTGATCGGTGTACGAATACTTTCTACACCCACTGTATGACTTTTTTCATGAATCATTTCATTTCAACCGCAGTCATGTGATAACACACTCAGAATTCTTAGATAAAATATTTCTATCATCTGGAGTCATCTTAGATCATCCCACAAGTTCATGCCACTTATTATTGTGCTATTCAAATTAATACATGAAACATACCTTCAAGTGTTATGAAAAATGTAGTCACCCTTTCTACAATCTTTCCCCACTTTTTTAACAGTCATTATAATTTATAGTTTTTTTATCGGCCTCTTGAGGGCTAATTGTTTGATTAGAAATCAACAGAAATTCAAGTAAACATTTACTTAGGACACTTATTAATCTCGTAACGTTGTTGTTGTATTAGTTATTGAAAAATTTAATGGTAATTATTTGTTTACGCTTCTGATGACTATTTACACGCGATAATATATAAAAGAGCTCAGGAACTAAACGTACACATATGTACCAGTATCTCTCAAGAGGTTAAATATAAATACAACTTGTAGCACGAAGTTATGGAGTGAGCTAATATATTTTTGTAATTGTGTATATTAAATATAGTTTTCATCCTGAATAAAGAATTTGTTTTTTCCACGTACCCTGTGTGTCTTTGCGACCCTGCGGAGCACTAAGTCTCCTCAGGTGGGCGACTACCACGCAACTCTCGACTACATGGCCGTGTTCTTTGACCTTGTTCACAGCATCGTCGCAGATTGTCTTCAGGACAAGAAGCTTCTCGCCTCTCCACACTCCGTCGGTCGTAATCAGAACCTTCGCCTTTGAATCCAAGATCCTCTCAGCTAACGAATCCGCCGAGTACCCTCCAAACTAATCGTACACATGGAAATTCAATAAGAAAAGAGCATTAATACAAACACAAAATATGAATAAGGATTTTTGCCTTAAACACAATTTATGTTTGTTGCAGTTAACTTCAGTACAAAGGCATTTACTGAATAAAACTTGTTTCAAACAAGTTAACCACTTTACCCTCTAGTGGCGCTATTTAAGAGGCTAGGAGTTCCAGTAACCGTATAATGAAATTTGATCTGCGACAGATTAATGCTGTTTAAGTCCTTAATTTGTTTCTCACTAGTTTTATTAAGCAAATAACTCCATGCACGAGTTAATTGTGGTAAATACAAATTGCGTCTAAGGCAAACGTTCCTGGATTAGTTTTAAGAAGAATTTTAAAGTAATCTACATAGAATGAAATGGATTTTATGATGAAAAGTAATCAAGCATCGAACGCAAGTTCGTCATTCGAGATTCTCGTTTTGTTTTGATCTTTAGAATAATCTCTTTATTTATCCCTTACTATTTTTTTGGGCAGTATCTAGGCAATTTTTATAATTTTGTTATGCCTAAAGTATTTGACATAAACTTTTGGTGTATAAATGGGAATAATTGGACTGCGATTGAACTGTGACTATCCATACAATAATATAGAAAGCATACATAAAATATTCATAATGTATGTTTAATATATTCTTCAATTAATATAACAATGTCGCTATTTGGTTTGCATCACTGGACATACCGTTTAGTTGTTTAACATGTATTTATTATGTTAGTTTATATCAGAAATGCATAAAATCCACAGTCAACTTTGCTAATCTAAGATTTTCTTTTTATATGGTTTTATTTTTTCGTCGCATCTACTGCTTGGTAATTAGCGACAGATGTAATTGGATTTCTATTTGATTAATGTTAGTATATACTATTGTAGAGTTTGTTGTTCTTAAGATAATTTAAGATTTTATTTAATAGAATTTGGCAAAAATATTTTAAAGACCTTAAGCAAAAAAAATATTAACAAACAAAATAAGCTACTTTATAACTGAACAAAAAAAGTACTCCCTTCAAGTTCCAGTCACCTGTTATCAAATGCGTCGTAGACATAATCCACGCTATTGTTTTTACGACTCATAGCGTATTTATGTGACAGGTATCGCAGGAAAAAGAAAGACAATACCTAGAAGGAATTGCAAACTAAAACATTGTGTCAGATGTCACAGTCAGCCTTCGTTAGTTCTACGTCTGACAATAACTCGACTTTTGTCCTCATTCCCCTAACTCATGACGTCATATGCTGCTTAAGGGGGTATCCTGAATTAGGAGGTCTAAAAAAAGCGGTTTCTAGTGAATTTTTTTTAGAATGGAAACAAATAATTAATTCTATCGAACTTTTTATCCTATTTTCATACATATTTGAGTAATCTGTACAAATTTTTTCAACAAGAAATATTCAAATTGAGTCGACTGTGACGCACATTTGTAGACCACCTCACAATTAAAACCTCCTATCGGCGGGAAAGATGCAGGCCGTAAGTTTGGTTTGACACAAAAAAAAACAAAAGAAATGTTCATTTTCGTACATTTTTCTTCTATGTGAACTAAAAAGTTCCTACAAAAAAAAATTGTAAACAACTTTTTTATCAAGTTAAAGTGATTTTTTTCACCCAAAGAACTCATTCTTTTTTTTAAACTTGCAGTAATTTCACATATCACCATTTTTGCCGGTTTTCTTAGTTCACATAGAAGAAAAATGTATGAAAATGAAAATTTCTTGTGGTTTTTTTGTGTCAGACCAAAATTACGACCTGCATCTTTCCCGTCGATGGGAGGTTTTAATTGTGAGGAGCTCTACAAATGTGTGTCACAGTCGACACAATTTGAATATTTCTTGTTGAAAAAATTTGGACAGATTACTCAAATATCTATGAAAATAGGATAAAAAGTTCGATAGAATTAATGATTTTTTCCATTCTAAAAAAATTCACGAAGAACCGCTTTTTTTAGTTCTCCTAATTCAGGATACTCCCTTAACCTAGGACCAATATTTTGCCTTTCTTCCTGTAATATTGCACCGGTAAGTGAGGTTCGACCCCCTCCATTTTGATTTTTATTAGACAGCTATATAGTATATACATGGTTTCACTGGTAAATATGTCTCGCAATATGTGATAACCCTTACTTCATACATTTTTATCTACTTAGCATAATTAAAGCGATTTCAAAAAAAGTATTCGATTAGTCGACATGATTAACATTGCTTACTAATTCGTAAAAGCCGAATATCAGGAAAGAGACTGATCAACGTTGTTTGTAAATAGGAGTCATTTCTAATGGTTAACAAGATAATTGAAAAATTCTTGAACTTGATACGTTTCGAATCAAATTCCACGTTAACTTGAAAGAAACCTTAACTTCGAAAGTTGTTCTCACAATTAGACTGTGAATGCTAATGCATTCAAGCTACGTCAGAGATATGTTTATGTATGTATATTATGGATATAGTAACGTTTCTTCGATTTAACAGATCATCTTTATTTGTCGCTCGATAATTTCAACTTTAATTTTCATTCTAGGAATAACGAATAAAATGTTACTCATCGTTTATTCATCGCATATATTATATTTGGCGCGTATTTAAATTTTCTCCGGTACGTTTTTAATATACATTCCCGGTATGCCATAGTTTCACCGTTTGAAACGCCCGCCATTTCTGAATCTTATAAGATAAATGCGTCGGATACCTATTCACGCAACATGCAATTTATTCCTGCACGTCATTTAAGTGAAATGTGTAGAATTCATGCATTATGGAAAATAAAATATATATTTTAAAAACCTCCGAACAAAGAAATACATTTTAATATTTCTCATTTAACTGAAATATGTCGAACGTCTGCATTAGATAAAAGAAAATAATTTTTTAAAAATCGAACTATGAAATATTTCAATCTTTGTCTCTGTTGTCCATAAAAATATATATTGCTACGAACAATCGCAGAGTACCTATGATTATTTGACTGTTCAAAATAAGAAAAAATGTTTCAAGTGATGTATATTCACTTACAGTAAGAATTATAGAAACAGTATGTGTTAAAGATTGCCGATCTTTCATTTTTAAGAATGGCGATTTTTTCAGCTCTTTCTGTCTCCGTTTTCTTTTTTGTGTATTTGCGAAAGGCGAATCTGGTTTGAATATATATTTACCACTACACTGTGGACGGCGCCGATTCTGGTACACGCTAACATGGCAACAGGAAGTTCCAAAATCATCGGCATGTATATCGCGACACGGTCTCCTTTCGTCACTCCTTTCGATTTCAAAACGTTGGCGAATCTACATACTTCCTCGAGTAATTTCCTGTAAGTCAGCCGTGAATAATCGTCCGGATCGTTGCCCTCCCTGTAACAAAATTATTTCAGTTTTATTGATTAATTTCTCACGCAAGATCGAAGTGTTACGTCGGTTATGGTATTTTAAAATAAGGCTCACTTTTATGAATTTTTCTTAATCGAGCTATTTATTTTTTAAAGACTCTATTTACAGTAATAGATGTCGCAGTTCATATACAAATTAAAAAGAAGATCAGAAGTGCGAAATATAATTTAAGAAAGCTGAATGGCTCTAGTAAAGGAAATTTGTAAACTCGAGCCTTCTATTTGATTATCCAATTTAAATTAATATATAAATATTTATATCGCCCAATTTATTAACAAACTGTACATGACAGAGAGGAAAAGGAAGGTAAATAAATAGTCAAAAGATATGAAAGGAAATTGTCTGAGTAAAGTGCAGTTGAATGAGTAATTGTGTCAAAAAGAATTAAATGAGTGGAATTGAGTTCAGATTTACGGAGATAAATCAATTAATGCCAACTAGTGTGAATTACGTGAATGTTTAATTTAGTACAATATTTTCAAATTATTACGACGTAAATGTTAAGAAATTCTTTACTAATCCTTTCATAAAATTATAAATGATAAGAGAATAAATTCTAATCGACATCAGCCTCTATACCACCAACATACAATTTGTCATTATTTAATCCAGATAAGTACCGAGTGAAACCGCGTCAAAACTGTGTCAAGGATTTTTCGCAAAATCTTAGATTTCCGAAACTATTACATAAATTCAAAGTATAGAACAAGAACTTTCACTTGTTTATTGCTATTTATATATTTATGTATTATTTTCTTGAAAAAATCGTATTATTAAGATCAATTTCAATAATGTTTTTATATCGTAGGAAGCATTGCAAAGTCTTTGTAGTTTTAGTTACATATATGAGTAAATGCATTTTCAACGTTTCAACAAATTTTTACAAACAATTTGTTAAACAATTGCGATTTTTAATGTGTTCCTCATATACGATTCAAATGAAAGAGGACTGTATATGTAGACCTATCATTGCACTAAAAATCTATCGAAGGAAATTTTTGTAAGGTCTACTGCAAGTCATGATATTTAATTTTTTCATTTTGTGTATCACCAAGCCGGCCGAGGGTACGTTTGCGCTCGTGCGCTGAGCGTACTAGTAAATTGAAATATCTGTAACAACAACAAGTTGTATATGGGAGTAAAAGATGCAGTCTTTAACACAGAAAATATATTATTCCTAAAATAATAATGAGTTTTTTTTACATCTTAATTACATAATGTAATTTTTAACTATTCTATACATGAAAAAAACAGCTTGGGTTGCTAGTTCATTTTTTATTTTTTACGATTGCATGTTTGACAGATGATTCAAAGTTTGAAACTATTTTACATAAAATATGTTCTTGGTCAAGCACAGTAAAGTTATGATACTGACGAGTGTTTTTTATAATGATTGCTCCATCGAAAACTATGTGAACTTGGCACCCGACTTTTCAAAAATTAATTTTTTTTCATAGAAAATGATAGTATTTCGTTTTTACCTGATTGTACCTCCAATAGTTTCGTTTGTACATCGATCAATTAATAATTAAAAAAAATTCAAAAAATAGTCAACATCCGACATCGAGATTTTTGAAATCAGTTTTTCCCGATTCTTTAGAATCATTTGTACCTGTTTGTACCGTTTTTCGTTTCGTTTGTACCTCAATAGTTTAAATTTTATAGCAATTGTTGTTCCGCGTAAGAGTGAAGTTCGTTAATTTTCAAGATTTTTAAAATCTGTTTTTCCACGATTCTTTAGAATCGTTTGTACCCGCCGGAAACGTTTTTCTTTTCGTTTGTACTTCAATAGTTGAAAATTAACGAACTTCACTCTTACGCGGATCAACAATTTCTATAAAATTTAAACTATTGAGGCACAAACGAAACGAAAAGCGGTACAAACGGCTACAAACGATTCTAAAGAATCAAGAAAAACCGATTTCAAAAATCTCGATGTCGGGTGCTGACCATTTTTTGAATTTTTTTTAATTATTAATTGGTCGAGGTACAAACGAAACTATTGGAGGAACAATCAGGTACAAACGAAATGCTATCGTTTTCTATAAAAAAAAATTAATTTTTGAAAAGTCGGGTGCCAAGTTCACATAGCTTCCATCGAAACGCTTTTTTAGTTTCTTTTCATTAGCGCTATGTTCAGCTTGAGAGCAAAATTCGAAATGAACGTGTTCGAAATTTCTAATTGCCCATTCGAATAAAGTTCGAGCTGTATTAATGAAGTTACCGTCCACCCGTTGCGAACTTACTTTGTACGCAAGCCTCTTTACAGTTCCCCCATTCCCATCACAGGCTGATTTACCATAAGATGTAGCAAAAAATATTCATGGGTTCAACTTCGATTTCGTTTTCCTCACGTCGAGAAGAATTGATTATTTGCGAAGGGAAAAAAGCTCTTTTTTACAAATAACATAACGCGCGACATTTGTGACAAACATAAAATCCAATGCAATTTTTGAATTTCTCATTCCACTCTTTTGTTATTAAAAATAATTTATTTCTTATGCATTTATGTTGTTTTTTTATTGAGTAGATTACAGCATTCATTGGGACGGCCCATTTTATTATTTTCTGCGAGGAGGAAAAAATAGAAATAATAACTGAAGCATTTTTTAAATTGAATATATGTCATGTGGAATAAATGAACTTACGTAAACAAAATTAATACGAAAATCGAGGACATTTATTGGAGATCGATGTGACACACTTTTTGCAGTTTTCAAGTTGAGGGCGGATGAATTGAATCATCTCAGAACTTGCAAATTATAAACAAAAGGCACGCGCAAGCACCAGTGCAGCGGAGCGCTACGCCACGACCGCAACGCCGCCACGTGTGGCACAGCGCCGTACGCCATTCCAAAAAATTAAATATCTTGACTTGCAGTAGACTTTACAAAAATTTCTTTCGATAGATTTTTAGTGTAATGATAGGTCTACATATACAGTCCAGTTTCGTTCGAATCGTGTATAAAAAACACATTAAAAATCGCAATTGTTTAACAAATTGTTTATAAAAAATTGTTAAAACGTTGAAAATGCATTTACTCATACATGTAACTAAAACTACAAAGACTTTGCAATGACTTCCTACAATATGAAATCATTATTGAAATTGAACTTAATAATACGATTTTTCCAAGAAAATAATGCATAAACAAGTGAAGAATAGGATTATCGCGAAAACATATAAATTCGGAAATCTAAGATTTTGCGAAAAATCCTAGACACGGTTGAGGTTTCACTCTAACTTCGACTTTTAAATTATCTTCGATTCATTATTCAAATTCTCATTGTATAATATTATTTAACAGTTTACATTCCTAGTTTCACACGCGTGGTTGGAAAACAAGTGTAAAGTTCAAGATTCATAATTTCTGTACATAATGACGATGATAAACATTTAATGCTACTTACTTCCCGGATAGCACCGCACGTCCCATGGACGTCCATTTTATGTCCAGTTTACGTCCAAACGTCCGACGTCCGTTGTCGGACGTCCGTCCGGAACGTCTTGCAAACGTCCATGGGACCTAAATTCTGTACGTCCCAGGGACGTCCGCCCGGAACGTCCTACGAACTTTCTACGAACATCCATGGGACCTAAATTTTGTACGTCCCAGGGATGTCCGTTTTGAACTTTCTAGATTTAGGGAAAAATACTTTTTTTTAAACAAAATAAATATTATTTATTAATATTCTTTATAATACAATATTTATTCAATATGTAGAACAGAATATTTTTTTCCGAATATAAAATACACTATTTACAATTGTAAATTAATATTATTATCCCAGATAGCACCGGACGTCCCATGGACGTACAGAGAACGTACAGAAAACATTCTGCAAATGTCCAGTACCGGACGTCTTATGGACGTACATAACTGTCACCACAGATATTAAAAACCTGTTCTCGTTTCATTCTTCTTAATTGAATTATAAATTATTACCAAATAAATCCAAAGTAATATAAAATCTTCATCTTCATCTATCTGCATCCAATTAGTATGCTTTTCATTATTATTTAATTCACGTAAACATATCCACTTCTAAACTATCTTTCTTCTATTATACAAACTCTAGTTGCACACTTTGAAGCTCCTTTTTTTAGATTTGCGAACGTGTTAACAAAACAGGTGTAAAGTTCAAGACTCGTATTTTGCATGCGTATACTACGACCTTGACAATTTCAATACTTTTTCCGGTTGAGTAGTTAGAGTTAAACAGTTTGATGTAACACGTCGCGAGTAAGCCCGTCGTAACAACGTGTCACGCTTACTCGATAAGCGGGAGAAACGTCATATATCCGTGAATTGATTTAGTTTTAAATCGCGTAAACTATTTTTTCCCTATATTTAAAAATAATTTGAATGCAGTGCCACGGTTAAGTTCATACACGACCACGGGTTTATTCGTGAGAATACATTATCATACCGAAACATCGTATTACGAAAGAGATATAGTCTGCGATCGTTTCTTTTTTTTCATGAACCGTCTACGATAAGGTTTTTTTCGGAGGGATAAGCAGACGGTTGCTCCAGCAATCAACAATTCGTCACGTATTGAGGAATAATAAGTCATCGGTGTCACGTGATCTAGGCAAATCGCGCGGGATTAAGTAAATTGTAACAGCAATTTCGTAGTTACGTAAAAAAAAATAACGATTGTACTCGTTCACAAACACGACTGATAACGTCTGCAAACATAATTCGACGAAAACAGCGATCTATTTTTATGGTACTGTCATTCCGTTTTTCGATTGTTATCGATCATTGGTCAACAAACTTGTCGTAATTTTCAGTCAATGACAGTTATCGCGCTTTTGTTTACACTTCAAGCAAATTTCTGTAAAAGTATCTGTCATTATGAAATGAACATATTCACGGTCTACTATAGACGATAACTGGTCGAACGGAAGGTATTTGCCTTTTCAGTGACGAAATGTAGAGAAAGACTTTTTTTCTGAATAAACATTCATTTCTTCATGGACTCGAAAATCTATTATGTATCTATTTTTTGTTTCTTCTTTTTTTTTTTTAATTTTTAAGGCTACTCAATGGGCAGATTATTTTTGCCTATATAATTTCGTGTCTTTTTAAATTGAAGTTTATTGAAGAACAAACAAATTATCATTAATGATTACAAAACATTACATTTCAATTACTTCTGTAACTTAAAATTTGAAAATACAATAATGTTCACAATACTGTTCAAATAAAATGTATATTCAATATATTATATATATATATATTTATATAAAAAGAAAAAAATATATATATATATAAACAATATATAATGTATATCTATATAACATTTATATTACTTTAAATTACTAAAACTTTTTTCATTTTAAATCAGTATACACTTGTACAACATCGTCCACTTGATCGAGTTTATAATATTTTCCTGTTCAACTGATTTTGTGATGGTCTCAGAGAATAACAGTCACAAACTTTTAAATTTGAGCTATAGTAGCTTAGGTATTAAAAATTTCCCATTTAAATTCTTTAATTAATTGTTTTTTAATGTCAACAAACTTCTCTGCTGTATACGATTAACGCTTTCTTTGAAAATATTAATTTACTTGAACTAATTGGTAATAGTGGATATTTATACTGATGATATGGTTGTTATGGCTGAAAATGAATTATTCCTAGCATGTCCTATCACTGCGGCCCCGATACAATTTTCAATTTATTCGCCCCCTCTTTGAATACGTTAAATATTAAAAATAATTGAAATCTAAGTTTTTTAATTAAAATTTAAAGCGAGGTGTAATATATATTTTCGAATTACAATATTCTTGCACAAATTACAGTGTTCCGTAAACGAAATCTTGTTAAAACTTTTCTTTCCTCGCTGTTAGCGTGTTAATAATTAGGAAGCGGGTTAATAATTTTATCATTTTTTACTTTCTCAGTTAGTATGAACAGCTACAAGACATTGTCAGATATAGTAATCGTGTTTTCTAACGAATTTTTGCAATTTTTCATAGAAACACATTTTTATACTTGTACAGTATTACGATACAATAACGATGTATATTTTTACTTTTCTAAGACTTAATTATATAAAAAAAAAAAAAAATATATATATATATATACTGAGAACTCTAGTTTGTCAGTAAATATATATTGTATAAATATTATAAAATGGAGTTATTAGTTTTTCTAAAACATACAAAGTTTCAATTCGATCTAATATATTAAGTCACAAACACTCACTCACCAAATACCAATTATGACATTTATATTTGCATTAATTTGATATTAAACGTCAATACCTTGATACTACTTTATTGTGTAATGTAAATAGATGTAAATAAGTACGCGAAATCAGTAGGAGAAAGTCCAAGACACACTTTCAAAGAAGTTACGACGCGAGCAATTACTGTGTGTTGTAAAAATTCCATTGTAAAATAACATGCCATCACGTTCACTCGAGAGTATACATTTGAATGAAAAACGATAAACATTCGTTTATCTACTAAACGAATTATCTACTAAGTAAGTACTAAAAGTAAATATATATTAGTTGCTCGTTACAATCTGAACACTTAAATGACAGTTATTACAAAAATTCACGTGACACGCTATGTGCTATAGTGTATGCTGTAATGTTCGACTTTGCCTTAACGAACAAAAATCACATAAAGTATGAAGTTCACGTTAATGTAACTTGTTATATTTATTTAACATGACATTGTTATTAACTGACATCGTTTAATTTTTTTTTTTTTTATGTAAATAATAATCAAACAAATATGTGACAGATATACAATGTTTAAACAAACATATAACAGATGTAAAATGGTAAATGTATATTTGATTACAAAAGCGTACGTGTTTCACAAATATAAATACTTTCCGCGTTAACCGTATTTCAAGAAATCTATCACCGAGTCATATGGCCTGACGTGATCGCGCGCATCACGTGCCGTCAGCCAATCAAAACACCGTCTCCGATTATGTGACAAATTTTGGACAAATCAGCGAGCATCGTACGATATGAACGAACCATCGAACCGTGTGAATGCCTGTCTGATTCATTGATCGATTGTGAGTATAGGATTCTTCAAACAAAATTACGGATGCCGTGTTTATTGTTTTAAGAATGTGACAACGACATTTAGCTCAACACTTTATCTTTTATCAACCTGTATTCTATAGTGCATTCGTATTAATATTTTATATACTTTATCAGTACCATGTTTCTTAAGTAATTTATTTGTAATTAATTTTTTCATTTTAAATACAAAAAATATATTAAATATTCTGAATAATCTCACACGTAATTATATATCGTTTTCTTTTCCATTTAATTAATATTATAGATTAACCGCACGTATTCATTTAATTTGACGTAGATAAGAAAAAATTGAAAATAAAAAATTACTTGTACGTTTAATGTATGTATTACTTTCTTTTAGCATATATGAACTGTAAATATTATTGCTTACTGTAAAGTTGTTATTACATATTTTAACATATATTACTACTTGTATGCAAGTTGTTTACACCGTCTACTTAATCTCAGCAGATAAATAATTTAAGGAAAATTACAGGAATACATATTTCTCTTACTTGTTATATTAAAAAAATAATTAATGTGTATCATAATTAATTTATTAATTTTGGACAAATTTCTAAAGAGGACTAAATTAAACAGAAACGCTGATATCTCTATTTTTGTTTCTTTAAGGCAATTACTTGTGATATTTTGAATATTTTAATTATTCAGTGATAGATAGACAAAGTTTTGGCAAAGTTTAATTCTGTAAATTAGGTATTACTTCAGAAGTATCGCACTGTAAAACACTGTAAACTCTTAAAACGCAAAATAAAATGATGTGTTCTGATATTGCAGTATATTCATAATAATTCGTACGTAGTATTTCTGTAATGGCATGCGGAAACATTAACTAACATATTTTAAATACGAAATGAAATGAATAATTATCGGTATAAAAATGATAATTTAAAGAACGATAATTTACCATTCTCAAATATGCAATTATGTATTTTAGATTTTAACTCTTCATTTTAGAGCCATCCTTGGAAGTCTATAAATGTTACAAAAGAATTTATATTGAAATTTTATATTAATTTGTAACAATATTTAAGATGAGTTATTCAAATAAATATATGCTCTTTTGCTGTGCTATATTTATATTTTTTGATATGCTATTTTGAAAACAAAATATGTGTACGTACTAATTAACTTGATATAGTTTATCGAAATTTAAAGTGTGTAGCTTCGTTGGAACTAGAAAATTATTATTTTTTAGTTTGTAGAAATAGGTTATCTTCTTTCAGTAATCAATTTCAAATGGATTTCTTAAAAACTGAGGTTGACTATGCGAACTTTCTAAACTTTCTTACGTTTAACCACGCGTTACACGGTAATGAAAGAATAAACAATTTATGACTCTGAATAGCCATAAATGCTAAGAACAGAATTCAATATTGCGAGTACTATACATTAGTTAAATTTAAATAATAACATACATTTTTTATTATGAAGTTTAATCTTATTCTCTCGTAATGCACATATATCATCGATGTATCGATAAACTTGATAAACAGAGAAAAATATTACAAGAATGAACCACAATAAAAAGATTTTTGCAGTGAATTCTAAGAATGCTTCTTTTATTCGTACTTTTCACTTTCGGCTTTCCAAATACCGTTTGTAGTACATTCAAAGCGAACAAAAATTGTATCACTTATACGGCGCTCGAATGACTTGCGTCTATAAACGGCCAATGTATTTTGCATAGCAATGAAGTCGTTAAAAGCACTGCTACTGAAATCGGTCCTATGAATCGTTATACATGGTCAGAAAGTTGTTCGGTTGGCTCTCTCGTCTATTCAAAGTCTCCGTTATGGCAGAAGCTTGCGCGCGTATAAATTTCGAGTTGTGTAGAACTTTTTTAAATGAAAATGAAAAATTTAGAACTGTTGAGGGATTTGGACTCGTTTAGATTATTTAAAAATAATAGTGACGAATTCAGGATTAACAAGGATCGATGGAGTAGGATCGATGTTGAATTCGAAATCGATAGAAATTGTTAAGTTTGTGTAGATTCGTATAAATAAAACAAGGAAGGTAAGGGAAAATTAAATATTTAAATATTACTATCGATTTCTATTTTAATAAATTGTGCTTGGTGTTTTTGACAGTAACGTGAATATTTCATGGAAGAATTTAAATAATATTAAGATTAATATTCAGTTTCAAAGAATAATATTAATATAATTTTTGTATCAAAATTTTATTAATACTATTTTCCTTGTTTTGGCTCTCAGTGTTATCGCAGACTCTATCAGAATTGCGTTTTGCATTACGTATTATGTCAATGGCATGCGTAACACAGTTTCATAATGATTTATGACGTGCGCGTAGTATTCCAGTATCAGATAAAGAATTCTCACCAATAAAACGCAATTTTGTCGCCGTTTCCGCTCTTCACATTCTTGTCCAGTAAGTTGAAGCTTATGTTTGTCGAGGCCCCTTCCATCCATTTTATGAAAATATCACCTTTGTTCAAGTCGAAGTTGTACGAAAAGAACTTATCATCTGCCACAGGAGTTTCCCAATAAAATTGTTTCGCTATTTCACCCCAGAATTCCGGTGGATTTTTCACAGACCTGGGAAATACGTTACAAGTAATTAAAACACATTCGTTCACGTAGGTGAATAGGAAGTATTGCTTTTAAATATGAAAGATATAATTTTGTTGAGTGTGACGAAAATATGCAGATTATTTTCACATAAACGTTTCAATCGTTGTTGTACAGTTCTCTCCACTATGGCTAGTTACATAATACATTTTAATGGAAAATTATTTATTTGTGAAAATGTTGGTTCAGCAAAAAAACTATATATATTAATTAATGTTGTAAGAAATTGTATAACTAATTGTTTTCGCTAGACTAACATTATTACAAATTAATATTTATCTTCTAGAATTTATTGTATAACACATCTTATTGAAGAGGAGTGCAAGATCTTGTATAAATTTCATTGCTTTTTTTTTTTCAATATATTCAGATATTTCACCTAATAATATTATAGAATGATAATAAAATGTAGAGTGTTATTACAATTGTTCCTGCACATATAATACTGTAATGAACATCGCGCTACTTTTAAATGAACGATCAACATTATTTATAAAAATATACACTTTAAATTGGTCGTTAAAATTTTCAGATAATTATCCATCAAAATAAAATTACAATTGATGTCTCCAAATTGAAAACCTAAATTAAAGATAACAGAGAATTACTGATAATAGGTTCAAGTTTTATTGTTCAGAATAAATATCATAAACGATATATTTTTATCTCTGGCATAGACCTTAAAAATATAATTTAAAACAATCATGCAAATATTCAATTTGAACAAGGAAAAATGGAGTCCGTTTTTATGTTTATTCCAGATTACATCTTTATATAATATTTTCAAGAAGTCTCAAACCAGAGATCTTTATGGATATTATTCTAAATAATGATGCTTGGACAAATTATTTATTGTTTTCAACAATCTGTAAAATTGTATCTTGTAACAGCTCACTAGAAGGATCAATATCTTTGTGCTATTTCTATAGTAGGCACTGTATGGCATTACATACGTAAAATGATGTTGCCAGATTTACAAAACTTGAATGTACGACTGCTTGAACTAAAAACTATCTCTATTGCCCCCAATCTTCTAAATACAAAATTAATATTCCATAAAATTTCTGCGTTTCATTTTTAGTGTAACATGTAGGTTACATCCCAAACACAATAAAAACATCAGGGTGTTCTAGTTGAATTCTTGGAGCAAGTCACATTAACGTAAAATCTTTAAAAATCTCAATGTAAATCATTCGAGCATTTCTACGGATCATTTTCACTTCAATTTACTATCACGATAAAGTAACACTGAATTTGTTTCATTTCTTCTCCTATACAGTGGGTGTAGAAAGTATTCGTACACCATTCAATTTTCAAAAAAAACTGTGTAAAATTGTAATATATTAACTTATTTTTTATAAACAATAACTTTCTACATATTCTCGGAAGTCTCTAAGATAGATATAGTCCAAACAACATTTACTAGTTATTATAATTTGTGAAATTAACAAGAAAAAAACAATTAACAGATAGAAATGTTGAAGCAATAAGTATTTGCACTACTGTTTAAAAGTACTTTTCTAGAAATTTGATGTTTTCTAATTCGTACGGAGCAATAAACTAATGTGTTTACATTATAAACTCTACTGTAAATGGTTCGTCATAAGAATCGTACAAATACTTATTGCTTCTATACTTTTACCCACTTTTCGTATTTTTTTGTTAATTTCACAAATTATATTAACTAGTAAATATTGTTTGGACTAGATCTATCATAGGGACTTCCGAGAATATGTAAAATATCATTGATTATAAAAAAGGAAGTTAAGAAATTACAATTTTACACAAAAGTTTTTTGGGAAATTGATCGGTGTACGAATACATTCTACACCCACTGTATATTCTAGTATCTATTTTAGATCCATCTGTATATCTAATATCAAATTATTTCAATGGATATTACATTTCGGAAAATCGTTACCATAAAAGAACTCGAAACCTCAGAATTAATATGTCGTAGGTGACACCCTCCACAGTCACCTCCACCCACAAGTTTCCTCTTTACTCGAATTAACAAGCACCGATGGAATCTATTTAATAGACATGCCTGACAGTTCGCCTATGATTAATATTATGCCCCCATTCGCTACCGTTCATCCTTTCTCATGCACTCTCACTGATTTCCCTAGAACTGCTGTTTAATTTTACACTTTTCAGCGATCACGAAACTGCTGGAATATCAATCTCTTGAACCCTCTATTACGTAATTTGCCTCACTGAGGAACCAATAAAAAATCTGTGTAAATTCCGTTATGAATAATTGATACATGGTTGTTTAGCTCGATAATGTGACAATTTAAGCCATTATGATAAGAACGAAAGTAAAATTTCCTGTAGTTATAAGGAAAGAATATTCTTCGTCGTTCCTACAACCACAAGGAATTTAATTTTCGTATCATATTGGATTAAATATGATTTCTTCAGAAAATTTTACATTAATTACTTATAATCTTTTTTCTATCGACACTATTGTCAGTCGTGTATTATTTAGTTTGAGTATTAATTGAATAATGGACGTATAAATGATCAAGATGAATAATTCCCTTTTTATAAGTTTAGAATACTACACTACTATTGTGTAGACGGTTAAGACAGCCACCGAATGTTTTGTTCGTTTCATCAATTATGATACCTGATTCCAGTAATAATAAACGTTACTTTTGCGCTATATTATTTTCATGATCTCATTTATACAAAACAATGAAGTAACCAATGAACGTATTAATGTTTTCAACATTAATTCTACTATTGTTCTCTGAATTTTTTTTATTTGTATAACGAAAGAGCAAACAATAGCGCTCATAAATCATTATTACTCATTGAATAATAGAATAGCCGAGATCTATAGTCTTCGTTGTTCCGTTAAGTCGTCTTCAGGCATGTATTCTTTTATTTACGAAATAGGATAATTGAAAGCTACTCGTTCCATAGGTTGGCGGCTTCAGGCACTGCCAGCCAAGCTGTTTCTCGGCCAAAATTATTGATTCGCGACATTTGTAACATCCGTGTATAAAGCAACGTAGTACACAGAACGTCATTTAAATTTTTATACGATTCTATTAATATACTTCTCAAATATGATTACGAATCCTTTCCTGCATCACGTTGTGGCGAGAATAATTATTATGCTACACTGAGAGCAAAAGATAACACATGGGCGACGACGAGAAATTTCGTACAGCAATTCCCGATAATCTTCACTCCTCTTAGCTTTGCTAATTCAAATGTTCAAATGTTTCTCTCTTTAAAAAAATGTGTAAACAATTTTGACAACTATTCAGGATGAATTTTTCCCTATGATTTCTAGCTCTGTCGTTTTTTTCCCAAATACATTTTTTATTGAACTTCGATCGATGCGTCTGAACGTTTGCTTATGGAAATATAAGAGACTTCTTTATACTATTCCAGATACACTCGAGATAGTCAATGGTTGTCGAGGGAAGAAAGGACGATACAGCTTCGACGTTATCACGAACAAGTCCAGATTAAAATGAAAACTACTCGCGATGACAAAATAATTTGCATTCCGATTAACTACGATTCAACACCAACCCCCATACTAAAAAAAAAAACTCGAAAATGTCTCGATTTTATATCACGTTCCGCAGTTCGGGCGTACATGTGCGCAACAACCCTTACGACACTCACTTTTCGTGCATCCTTTTGTACTGCTCCATGCAACTGCAGTGGGCGTTCTGGGAGATATCCGGATTGGGGTAGTAAATCTTATCCGCCATCTTCGCTGTTTCGTCTTCGCGGATTCAGCTTTCGACCCTCTTCGGTGATTCTGGAGAGCCCTTTCGAAAGAGGCGCGATCGATAAAAAGCCGAGCTGAACAAGGTTGACGACGACACAGGGTAGGTTCGCAGGTAGTTCGATCGTTCTCGCCACAAGTCTTGATGCACAATCGTCGCGTGGGTTAAGGACGGAACGCAACGATATGTTAGGGGTTGAACGAAGAGGGTATCACCATAGATTTTTCGAAAACGCGCGCCTCCGCTCGTTTCCGTGTCGCGGCTCGGCTTATAAACGTCGACTGAACCAACGACTGGCGGCGACCCGATAGCAGCCCTGACGGTAACCAGCGTGGTGTCGTTGGCGTCGGGTGGGAAGGCGCCGCCAGGGACGTGCTAGAGAACCGATGACTCTTTTAGGACCGTGTTCTCCAATAAGCGCGAACAGGGCCGTCTAATACGGGCGTTTGGGCTGTTCAACGCTCAAGTGTGGTTATTCAAATCAATTACACTAGTTTACAGCCAAAATGTACATTCAATGCCACAATTTTTTCTTATGTATTTTGGTCTACTAAACTCGAAAATCGTAAGAAAAATTTTTTCTATGAATAGGTTTTTTTTATATGAATTTTTGCATTTTTTTCGATTTTTTTCTGACATACACTCCTATTTTAAGCCATATCTCGAGTTAGAAACGTCCGATTGAGTCGCGCAAGACGTGATTTTAAAGGTAATCGAATTTCCAATAATTGGTTTTTACATTATTATCCAATCGGTTCAATAGTTTAAGTGTTAAGTGTTGATTTTTTCGGCTAAAATAGAACACGAATATTTCTTCCATCGCCTTGGAAAAATAGAAATTGTCAAATTATGTCCAATTTCTTATTGTTTACGTATAGATCGCACTTTTACGAAGAAAATAAGCTTTCGTTGAAGAAAATCTATGGATAAATACCGGAGTTAGGAACAATTGAGTAAAGGTGCAAAAATTCCAATTTAACTCTGTTTTTGTATTTGTTTCCTATTTATATAGAAAACATATATTTAATTAATTTCGATTAGAAATAATTTCGGTCTTGACTTTGTCTTCTGTTAATCGTTGGGTTCGTTTCTCTGATAAAGAATCAAATGTAGTCTTCCAACATTCTTTCATCCCAATATCCTTGATAGCGCTGCTTAATAGTTTAGGGCTCGTGGGTCGGCAGAGTATGAATTATAAGGAAGTTGTCGAAGATTTGCTGATAAATTATGCAAAAATGGGTATGGAATATATATTGTTATTCCATTTGATTTGACAAAATGAAACAATTTTTACATTCGATTGTAACTTTAATTTCAACAGGCGTAAATATGTCGCTCAAAATTCATTTTTTACATTCTCACTTGGATTGTTTCCCGGAGAATCTTGGCGATGTAAGTGACGAACACGGCGAAAGGTTTCACCAAGATATCAAAACTATTGAACAGCGCTGCCAAGAATATTGGGATGAAAGAATGTTGGGAGACTACATTTGATTCTTTATCAGAGAAACGAACCCAACGAATAACAGAAGACAAAGTCAAGGCCGAAATTATTTCTAATCGAAATTAATTAAATATATGTTTCCTATATAAATAGGAAACAAATACAAAAACAGAGTTAAATTGGAATTTTTGCACCTTTACTCAATTGTTCCTAACTCCGGTATTTATCCATAGATTTTCTTCAACGAAAGCTTATTTTCTTCGTAAAAGTGCGATCTATACGTAAACAATAAGAAATTGGACATAATTTGACAATTTCTATTTTTCCAAGGCGATGGAAGAAATATTCGTGTTCTATTTTAGCCGAAAAAATCAACACTTAACACTTAAACTATTGAACCGATTGGATAATAATGTAAAAACCAATTGTTGGAAATTCGATTACCTTTAAAATCACGTCTTGCGCGACTCAATCGGACGTTTCTAACTCAAGATATGGCCTAAAATAGGAGTGTATGTCTGAAAAAAATCGAAAAAAATGCAAAAATTCATATAAAAAAAAACCTATTCATAGAAAAAATTTTTCTTGCGATTCTCGAGTTTAGTAGGCCAAAATACATAAGAAAAAATTGTGGCATTGAATGTACATTTTTTTTTATTTTGTAAACTAGTGTTACTTGAAAATTATATACAAGCTGTCCCAGTGTTTTTCCGGCCAAACTTTGCGAAAATAAGAAAATAATGTTATATGAACATATGGTCATAAATGTTTGATTAAGGAGTTATAACTAATAATATAAAATGATAATGAACTGGCATTTACAGCGTACGAACGTATTATGATTATTTCTATTTGCGTTTACATAAACTCTTATGTTTACTTGCTGAAGTACTGTTAGTATAGAGGATCACAAACGCATTTGCTGCGACTAGAGAAAATGAAAAAAAAATTAGTAATACGATAGGGTCAATTTTTGTTAGATGCCAATTCTGTATTCGTAATAATGGACGTCGTTTTGAAATGTTAACTCGTTCATAAAATGTTAATAAAAAATGTCGATATTAACTACTTTAGTAAGTAAATATAAGAGTTTATGTAAACGCAAATAGAGATATTCATTACACTTTCGTAAGCTGTGTAGACAAAATGCCAGTTCATTATCATTTTGTATTAATAGTTATAACTCCTTCATAAAACATTTAAAAGCATATAACATTTTTTTTTGCTTTTGTGTATAGAACACGCTGGCAAAGTTTGGCTGGAAAAAACTGGAACACCCTGTATATTTTTGTTGATCCTTTGCTCTCAGTTGTCCCCCTTGGAGGGACATCGTAAGTCCAGTATTAACAAATTCGCGACCGCTGACGTGAATTCGCGTTACTTTAAATTCTATTCCTGGTTATGACAAAATTACGAAATCATTTTTATTTTATACATTACATATTTACAATATTTCGAAACATATTTTGTAACTTTTATCTGCACCCTAACGATACAAAATTGCGATGTATAGCTTCAAAGTGTTATTATCTTTGTTAGTACTCGGTATTAAAAACGTAAAATATCTGCCAGTCGTAAATGTGTTAAGTTGTCTTAAAAGTTGCTTTCGTTTTATTAATAAGTATGTAATACATACACAATACTTTATGTTTTATGTTACATGACTAAATTGTGTAAAATCCATTTTGCTCTATTACTGTTATAATCTAAACCTCTAAGAGATAAGGGTGTCTGTTCATATAATCACTGCCAAACAACTAAATGCAAATCGTAAAAGAAACTTTCGAGAGAACCTGATATAATATTCTGAAGTTCTTTCTCAAGGAATATTGAAGTTTGTTAATGATTACGCAAGATCAGTGATCATTGCAAGTTTTTGAGACATGTATGCTTCTTTGACATTTTTTTTTATTGAAATAGTATGAAAAATCCAACCAAAATATGGCTTCAATATCGAGTTACGTAAACAAATACCGTCCAATGTTGCGTCAGAAGAGAAGCAGAAGATGAGATTGATATTTTCTATAGACACGTTGGCTCAGCATTACGTTTACCATATCCTTCAAATTGAGATCAAATAATAAGTTTTTTATTATAACAATCATTATAAAAAATGGTGGCAAACGTACCGTTAATAATAAAGTCATTTTAAAAGGAGACTAATGTAAATAAGATTGGTGTCTTCTATTCTAACATAATGGCAGGTTTATGGTGACAAAAAAACTAATAAAAACAGCAAATTCAAATCAATTTCATCATTGGCACGATGATTTGGTAATGTGCCAACTGTATACGTACATTATCGTGCATTTCTGTAAACAGTAACACAATGACCGTCGCCGTGTAGAACCATAACTAATCCAGTTTAGGATTGGATGGAAAGATACCCCATAGGTGCAAAGTAAACCCATTTTACGGTACGGCAACTTCTCGACTTAGACGGTTAATTCGTTCTAAAGCTCGCTACAATAGTCGAGTACTGTACAAGTCGAATTGCATAATTACGATGTATTGCGTGAGACAAGAAAGATCAGTTTCGTGTTAGAAAAGATATATGTTCACGAGTAAAGAGGATGTGGACAATGTTCAGTAATTTTGTTCGTAGTCGTGGACGTTACCAATGCGAACTAAAACGTCTGACCCATTACGACTCAACTCTCCTTTCAAGACTGACCTTTCTTTCTCCAGGTTTTTAAAGTTCTTCCTTTTAAAGGAGTTTTTACGAGTTTTTACAATGAACTTTTTTCTCCCTTAGTTTTAAAACTTAATTCAAGTTAAATAGATGTATATACATTTACATACTTTATGGAAAGCATATTTGAAGGAAAAGTAGTATTATTTAATACGTATTATGTAACCCACGCGACCCCCATTAAGAATCCCAGATTGAACTATTATTTTTTAAATATATTTAAAAGCTATATTTATTCATTCAAAATTCCCATTTAATTTCACGAGTTTTGTATTATTATTTTTGTTTAAATATTTTATGCTTTGTCGAAATAATGAACAAAAACAAATCTAAACAAAATTTAGCTGACACGTAAGACTTTTTCAAATTAAATATATACGGGTTAATAATCAATTCATTTTTGTTATGTATTGTTTTTTAGATAGAGCTATCTTGTTGCAATACAACAATCTAATAAACTGTCCTATCTCTTAATACTTCCAGCAGTATCAAAATGAAAAATAATGATTATTTAAGAACATTATTGATATAACACAATTACTGTTGTAAATACATACTAACTAAATTGTTGATAAAACAGTAACAAATCTGGAGAAATTTAAATTCGCTATCAAATCTATATATTAGGGTATAGAAAACGGATTTACGCAAACTCTCTGGTGGATATCCCCTCGCTTCGATTCTTAATTAATAAAGAATGTTGATTAAATTGATGGGAATGGTTCATAATGACTGTTATGACCTCTCCTTGGAGCCATGTATTTGATATCCCTACAATGATAATTTAATCTCAACCCCTTCTTAATTACACGCAAGTGCATATAAAATTTATCGCTCTATAAAACACCATCAAATCCTTCAAAACTCTAAATCAGCTGTATTCAATTTTTTTTTTAATCGTGAAAGACATTGTTATTTACGTGTCCACTACGACTACGTTGACAGACCCATTTCGTTATTAAAAAATAAAGTCTTAAAACCTTTTATAAAACTCTTTAACTCTTTAACTCGTACGTATTATGCATACTAGTATAACTTTAAAATTAGAAACGAGCATTGTTAACTTACGACTAATTATAAAAGTAAGCTCAAAATATTTGTTCTAATGTTAATGGCATAATGCAATTTTATAATTATGTGTAGATTTGATTTCACGAAAATGTACCGTTACATTATGTACTAATGCGAACTGATTGTATTAATAAGGCTATAAGGAAAATTAGATTCAATACACGGAGCAATGGTCAGTAATTTTATTTAAAGTATAGTTAGGTATGCAAGCGCCACAGCTCTACTATGTACGTACGTAAATAAGAATGGGCAATTGCAAAAGATTTTCATAGTTTTTCTCAAAGGAAGGCTATCAATTTTACAAAAATTGATTGACTAACACAGTTTTAGACGTAATAATTGCTACAGCTTTTACCGTGGTTCTACTATGATATTTTAATTTAAAACGGAACAATAAATCAATTAAATGGCAAAGAAAATTAAAAACAAAGGATAAAAATGATTATTTTCGTAAATGGTTATACAAAATGGCACATTACTTGAGATATTTTCAAAGAAAGTGCTTTCAAGCATATCTTTTACTTTAAAATTATATACTTCAATATTACTTTAATATTACACTTATGTAACAATAAACTCTTTTG